AGTATTAGGTGTGTCCCGCGCGCTCATTTGACCTTATGCAGTTGCGAGCGCCGTAAAACCCTATACTAAACAAACAAACAAATCAATTCAGAACAATCCGACGGTATCATACACATTCTGCAAAATAGCACAAGCCGTGTACACCCCCATTAACAGTATTTTTGGGCGTTCGTGGCGGCATGCTCGACCGAATTTTGATATTCTAGGAATCGGGCTGAAATATAAATAAACCATGTTGGCAAAGGAAGATGCTTGAGTGGGCGCATGACACACTCATCGGTATAAAATTTACCTTGATCTCAGCTCAGAGGCGTGTGTATATTCATGTAATGGCACACAGATAGAAGGATTGATGTGCGTGCAGCAAACATTATGCAGATGTGAAGGGGCCGATGCAGGTTGCAATGCGATCTGTGCCATTGTTTATTTCTTCAAGGGGGTAACTGGATCTCAGTCTAAGTGGAGTGCTCTAGGTCTATTGCATTGCTTTCCCCTCTCTCTGGTGCGAATGTCAGTGGACTTATTGAAAAGTACCCTTTAAAACGGTTCCAGTTCTTAAGCTGGAAAATATTTATCTGAGAGAGTGAACATTTTTCAGAAATAAATTGAATTCTTTGGCATATGAAACAGATATTCGATATGTGATCAGATTTGTTAAAAACAGGGTACAAAAAGGTGGGTAAATGCTATGTTTAATTATTTTACAGGCTGGCATTTCTATTTCATTGTCGTCTATCTTTAACGTTGAGCCTATTGAACAATTCACCTAGGAGAAAACACATTTTTGATTTTTCAAAGGAAAAAAATGGCTCTTTCACCTTTTTCTAAAATTAAATTTGATTATATGCAAGCACAACGTTAATGTCATTCATATTAAAGGTTTAAAGAAACTTTAAAAAAATAAAAATAAAATAAAATGTGCATTTCTACAATCTTTTGAATGCAAATACTTCTGTTTTATAATCATAGGGGGTCGCTGGCCATAACAGAAACCACAAATTATTAATTATATTTATTCTATTTTTCTTTAACAAATATAACCCTCTGCGGATGCATTGGTCATCATAATACACTAACGAACAAAATTCAATTATTATTGTGCTTATTTATC